AGCGACCCCAGGCAGGCGGAGCTGGACAGGTCTCAGGCCCCCAGGCGGGGCGGCGGGCGCCAGACCCCCAGGCGGAGCGGCGGGCGCCAGACCCCCAGGCGGAGCGACAGGTCTCGGGCCCCCAGGCGAAGCGGCGGGCACCGAGTCACCAGGCACGACAGTGGGCTCCGAGTCAACTGGCATGACCGCTGGCACTGGGTCAGACATTGGATCGTCTGGCTGGACAGCGGGCATCGGGTCACCAGGCATCAGGTCATTTGGCTCGACAGCGGGCACCGCGTCATCTGGCAAAGGCAGTGGGCTCCGAGTCAACTGGTATGACCGCGGGCACTGGGGTCAGACATTGGATCGTCTGACTAGACAGCGGGCATCGGGTCACCAGGCATCAAGTCATTTGGCTCGACAGCGAGCACCGCGTCATCTGGCAAGGCAGTGGGCTCCGAGTCAACTGGCATGACCGCGGGCACTGGGGCAGACATTGAATCGTCTGGCTGGACAGCGGGCATCGGGTCACCAGGCATCAGGTCATTTGGCTCGACAGCGGGCACCGCGTCATCTGGCAAGGCAGTGGGCTCCGAGTCAACAGGCACGACAGTGGGCACCGGGTCATCAGGTACCGGATTGTCTGGCTCGACAGCGGGTATCGGGTCACCAGGTATGACAGCGGGCATCGGGTCACCAGGCATCAGGTCATTTGGCCCGACAGCGGGCACCGCGTCATCTGGCAAGGCAGTGGGCTCCTCCGAGTCAACAGGCACGACAGTGGGCACCGGGTCATCAGGTACCGGATTGTCTGGCTCGACAGCGGGCATCGGGTCACCAGGTATGACAACGGGCACTGGGTCACCAGGCATCAGGTCATTTGGCTTGCCAGCGGGCACCGCGTCATCTGGCAAGGCAGTGGGCACCGGGTCACCAGGCATTGGATCGTCTGGCTCGACAGCGGGCATCAGGTCACCAGGTATGACAGCGGGCACTGGGTCACCAGGCATCAGGTCATTTGGCTTGCCAGCGGGCACCGCGTCATCTGGCAAGGCAGTGGGCACCGGGTCACCAGACATTGGATCGTCTGGCTCGACAGCGGGCATCAGGTCACCAGGTATGACAGCGGGCACTGGGTCACCAGGCATCAGGTCATTTAGCTCGCCAGCGGGCACCGCGTCATCTGGCAAGGCAGTGGGCACCGAGTCACCAGGCACGACAGCGGGCTCTGAGTCAACTGGCATGACAGCGGGCACCGGGTCATCAGGTACCGGATTGTCTGGCTCGACAGCGGGCATCGGGTCACCAGGCCTAATAGGATCGTCAGGCTGGATCAGTTCATCATGCTGGGTAGAGGCATCAGGCTGAATGCAGGCATCCGGCTGAGTAAAGGCATCAGGCTGAGTAGAGGCATCAGGCTGAGTAGAGGCATCAGGCTGAGTAGAGGCTTCAGGCTGAGTAGAGGCTTCAGGCTGAGTAGAGGCTTCAGGCTGAGTAAAGGCATCAGGCTGAGTAGAGGCATCAGGCTGAGTAGAGGCATCAGGCTGAGTAGAGGCTTCAGGCTGAGTAGAGCTTCAGGCTGAAGAGAGGCATCAGGCTGAAGAGAGGCATCAGGCTGAAGAGAGAGGCATCAGGCTGAGTAGAGGCTTCAGGCTGAGTAGAGGCTTCAGGCTGGGTAGAGGCTTCAGGCTGGGTAGAGGCTTCAGGCTGAGTAGAGGCTTCAGGCTGAAGAGAGGCATCAGGCTGAAGAGAGGCATCAGGCTGAGTACAGGCATCAGGCTGAGTAGAGGCTTCAGGCTGAGTAGAGGCTTCAGGCTGAACCACGGAAGGCAGGTTCACCGGTTTGGATACTGGCAGGATGGTATTGGTTGGAAAGAAATTTTCGCTTTTTTCTGGTTTTAACTACTGGAGCACTGCAAGTAAACGCAGGTCTGCAAACGAATGGAGCAGCTGGAGACAGAGAAGAGCTGGAGGATGGGACAGAGGAGGGAGCAGTTGCTACAGAGGGCTTTTTTACAGGGTTAAAGGCAGGATAGGTGCAGCGAGTGGGAACAGGGGACCGACATGCGGTAGATAGCCAAGTATACTGGGCTGTAACTGGAGGAGCTGTTGGGAATGCAGGAATAGAGCTTTGAGGAAATAGATTAGAAGCAGGACTGGGTCTTTGTAAGCTGACTGAGGCTGGGTGCAACAAGTCTGTCCATGTCTGCAGTAGGGGTTGAACAAAACTGAGCTTACACAAAGCCTGTCTGGTCAATGACTGCACTGCGTTTATACAATCTCTTAGTACCTGTGGTGAACATGTGGAATAACGCTCCAGAAAGTAACCCACATCATCCTCTAATAACCACACCAGGGACTCTACCTGGTCAGCACTAAATGGTGGCAAAAATTCATCCCTGCATTCGGGGGAACCAGATGAAACCAACTCAGCAAAAACCTGAATCAATGGCTGCACCTCAGAGAACTCTGTGCCCTGATCTACTAGAACATGAGCGAGCCGGATACATTCTAGCAGTTCATCCCGGGGATACTCCTTCAGAGTCTGATAAGCATACTCCCTGTCATCAAACACTAGCAGATATAAATACGCAACCTCATCCAGATCCATCCTTCCCATCAACAAACCAAGATGGCTTCCCTGTGCAGCCACTTCTGGTCAGGATTGGCCTTGGTGTAATGTCAGGGCTCCCGGGTATGACCAGAGGTGTGTGACTGACGCAGGGAAACGCAGGCTTCAGATATGTTATAAACAATGTAATTTATTAACACTAACAATACAAACATAAACGCAGTGCAATACTAAAACATAACACAGTGCAAACAAACCAAACCAAACCACCCACAGATGACAGTACATACAATGCAAGCGTCGTCAGGCAGGCCGGGTCAATATCAGTCGGGCAGGTAGGTACAGGGGGAGCAAGCGGAGAATGGTCGGGGTCACAGGCCAGGTTCAGCAGGTAGCGGGCAGCGTGGTACAGAGGGTCAGGCAGAGGAGAATGGTCAGACAAGCCAGGGATCAGAGCAGGGTCAGCAGAGAATCAGACAGGAACAGGAACAGGGACAGGGACAGGGAACAGGGAACAGGGACAGGAAACAGGGCCCAAGAGAAACACAACACCAAGGCAGAGTCTGCAGGTCTGAATGTCCCTTAAATACACCAGTATAATTAGTTCCAGGTGTTTGACTGGCTGCAAGGTTGAGTCTCTGATTGCTGGGAGCACCCGCTGGCCAGCCCTGGTACTGCAGCTCATAAGGCAGCTGAGTCCCACTATTGCTGGCCAGTCCATTCCTGACAAGCCTTGTACCATGTGACAAGCTGTGACCAATCACAGCTCACTCAGTACTTCTCAATGAGTGCAAGAATGCAGACAGAGAGAAAGAGAAATGATTGCTTTTACATCCTATATGGGTGTAAAAGCAATCAGTGTAAAAAAAAAAAAAAAATCACCATGGTGACACTGTACTGCTAGGGTGACAGTATGTAAAAATAAAAAATAATAATCTAAAAAAATAAAATAAAAATGTAAAAAAAAATATGTTTAAAAATTATAATTTTTGGTTATAACCTAATTTGGATTTTTTTTTTTACTAAAAAGATAACAGAATAAATTTTGGCCAAGATTTATGATGAAATATTATTTATTTGCAAAATTTTATAAAAAAAACACTTTTTTTCAAAATTTTTGGACTTTTTCATTTACATAGCAAAAAAAATAAAAATCCCAGTGGTGAATAAATACCACCAAAATAAAGCTTTATCTTTCTCAAAAAAATGGTAAAAAATTCATTTGGGTACAGTGTTGCATGACCGCGCAATTGTCATTCAAAGTATGATAGTGCTGAAAGCTGAAAATTGCCCTGGTCAGGAAGGGGGTAAAAGTGTCCGGAAAATTAAAAATCAAAAGTGATCAGTACATCCAGTGATGTTGTAGGCAGCTGAAATTATAAGCAAATTATTACTTACTATTATTATTATTATTATACAGGATTTATATAGCACCAACAGTTTGCTCAGCGCTTTACAATATAAAGGGAGACAATACAGCAACAATACAGTTCAATACAAGAGGATAGGAGGGCCCTGATCCTTGGAGCTTACAATCTAGGATATCTTTGGTACCAGAGGCGGACTGACAACTTATGGGGCCCATGGGCAATAGGGGATCATGGGGCCCCTGTGTCCTTGCCCAAACTCAAAAAAGCCTATGAAAAAGGTACCAGGGGCATCTCATGGGGCCCCCTACTGACCCCGGGCCCTCGGGCAGTGCCCGAGTTTCCAAATGGTCAGTTCGCCCCTGTTTGGTACTGTAAAAATCAAGCTTAGACTATCACCTTCCTATCTCCCGAGTCTCCCTATTGGTCTAATGTCATGATGGACAGCCTGAATAACCAATAGGGAAAGGTCAAATTTAGCAAATATATTCACCTGCTTTTATCATTGTAAATCCCCTTCCCTTTTCTCTCTCTCACATCTCTATTTGCCCACCAAGCAAAGTGGCTTTAAAAATGTAGACACTTAAACACTGAACCAATCCATAAACTAAGAATCCTAATGGTTCTAACTGGTAGCTCTACAGTTACATCTATACAAAATAAAATAGAACATTTTTGACACATTAACCACTTCCCTACCGGGCACTTCTACCCCCTTCCTGCCCAGGCCAATTTCCAGCTTTCAGCGCTGTCACACTTTGAATGACAATTGCACGGCCATGCAACACTGTACCCATGTGAAATTTGTATCATTTTTTTTAGATAGATAGAGCTTTCTTTTGGTGGTATTTAATAAGCTCTGTGTTTTTTATTTTTTGCTAAACCAAAAACAACTGAGAATTTTGAAAAAAAAAAGTTTTTTCTTAGTTTCTGTTATAAAATTTTGTAAGTAAGTGATTTTTCTCCTTCACTGATGTGCACTAATGAAGCTGCAGTGATGGGCACTGATAGGTGGCACTGATGGGCACTGATGGGCACTGATGAGGAGGCACTGGTAGGTGGCATTGATGGGTATTGACAGGCATCACTGATGGGCACTGAAAGGCAACACTCATATATGGCACAGATAGGTGGCACTGACTGGTCCTGATAGGAGGTACTGACTGGCACTGTTAGGCGGCACTGATGCACACTGATAGGTGACACTGACTGGCACTGATAGGTGACACTGATATGCGGCACTGATAGGCGGAACTGATTGGCAGCACTGATAGGCGGCACTGACTGGCACTGATAGGTGGCACTGAAAGGCAGCTCAGATGGGCACTGATATGTGGCATTGATGTGCACTTGTAGGCACTGATATGTGGCATTGATGTGACACTGACAGGTGGCATTGATGGGCACTAATAGGTGGCACTGAGGGGGCTACAATGATCATCAGGGCACACTGATCATCAGTGCCCTGATGATCAGTGTACATGTCCCCTCTGAGTAATGCCGATTACCGGCTCTCCTCTCCTCACCAGTTGTCAGCATGACAGCTCGTGAGGAGAGGAATGCCGATAACTGGCATTTCCTTATTTACATGCGATCAGCTGTGATTGGACACAGCTGATCACATGACAGAGCCGATGTCTGCAGCTCTTTCCGTTGATCGGTGATCCACTGTGTCCCAGGGACACAGCGCACCACCGATGGCCAAGCTGCACGACCCCGGTGGCACGCAGGCGCAGTTAGAGTGGGAGGCCTTGAACCGTCCTTACATTTATATTACCTTATATGGCGGGAGGGAGGCGGTTAAATAACTTTTTAAAAAAATTATAATTACAAGAAGCAATTATAGAGGCCTGTAGTTTAGAACTGGTAATATTTTATAGGGTTCTTAGTAGACTGTGGTTTAGTACCAGTGTGTCTCTTTGCTTCCCTATAGTTAAATTAGTGTTCATTAGGTTTTTTCCTCATAATTCTACTGGGCCCCACTAGAGATATAAAATTTCCAGAAGTTTGAAGCCATGAGAAAAAAAATTGTTTTTTCCAGAAAAAAATGAAAATTATTGGAAAAAAAATAAATGTGGAATAGTTTTACAAATTGAAAGTCATTTTGTTACACTGGTAAGGTGCCATGCAGTGTACTGCATATAAAAGTATTGTGCTTGACATAAAAGTACAACTTGTTCAGTTATTTACTAAACTAAACTAGCTTTTTAAAATTTAGAAAGATCCAGAAGCAGCAGAAAGAGTTTGTAGAATGAGAACTCTGATGTTACTTGCACTTTCATTATGGTCCTCATCATTTATATCTATAGAGCATTTGTTAATGTCTTTACGGCACATCTGGCAAGGCAGGATGTGTTTTGTTATTGTAGCATTTGGAAAAGAATATTTTTTTTCTCTCAACATTTGCAAATTGCAGTTTTACTTTCAGCAGAAATTGCTCTTTGGAAATGTTTCCAAACTCTAAATTAGGGTTCCATGGTACCTTAGTGTTCCTCCAGAGGTTGCTAGGGGGGTCCTTGAGCAAGGAGCAAATTTTGCCTCTCAGATAATGTCCCACTGACACCATTGATATTTTTAGATATCTGTAAGGTGGCAATTCTTCCCTATAACCACAAATATATGGAGTATTCCTCCCACTGTTAATCATACTAATATATTATGAGTTGTAGATATAGCCATTTTTAGCAGGGGTTCCCTGAGACCGGAACAGTATTTCAAAGGCTCCTCTGTGCTGAATAGAGAAAGGCTGCTCTAGATGTTGGTCTTACCATTTTCCTGAGAGGAGGAAAAGCGAAAACAATTTACTGACCAGACTATAAGTAAACATTATGCTGTGATGGTGGAGAACATCAATAGGAATCCTTTAAAGCAGGGGTACTCTGTTGGTTATGTGTTAGAGAAGACACTGGTAGCTTGTGATGAGGCAGAACTCTGTTTTACTTGTGTGGCTTAAGTTGCAAACATACAGAACACATTTCAGCAGACATCTTGGTTTTGAAGAGAGGAAGGGAGAGAGAACCAACAAGTTTTACACATATGCACAACTAGTAACCTTAGTGTACAGTGCCATCTACTGGTCAAGTGACATTAACACACAATACTATATAGTACATGCTGTTGTATCTCCAACATGCTCAACCTGTGGCCCGCAGCATCCAATAATGTGGCCTGCAACCTCAAACCAGGGAAGTGCATCCCTATGTTCTGAGATGGTGGGTCGGCAAGCCCAGATCGCGATCAACGAGTTGCTGGCCTGCCATCCCAGACAACCAGAGTGCATGGAGCTGGCGTTGGCAACAGGAGGTAGGTGGCCGCAGAGGGAACAGGAGCTGCATAAGCCAATGTTTGCTCTGTAGCAGTGCAGCTAACCTGCAGGAAAGTGCGGGTAAACAGCACTGCATCAGTTTGAGAGCTGCCTTATAGGGGGCTGAGGACAGTAAGGGCTAGTTTACATTTGCAGTTGGGGGGGAGTAAAACCCCATAGTTCATTGTGGCACGTGACCGTTTACCAAATCACTTAAGTGGCCCTCCCTCTTCAAAAGGTTGAGCGCCCCTGGATTACAGGTTATAAAAGTAAACTGATTTTTAAAACAAATTTACCCTCTTACCTGTCAAGTAAGATCCAAAGGAAAGAAACTATCATCTACTGTTTATCAACTATCACCCAACTGGAGGTGAAACAAGATGGAGCTCACAAGCAAACTAAACTGGAGCCTTTCCCCTGCAGTGCCCCCTAGTGGCAGAAATGCATATTTATCTTGATTGACAACTGCACTAAAAAGTACAGTGCTACCTGAATTGTATTCCAGGATTTCCTTGTCTTCGGGTGAGAGAACTTGCAATAATTAAGGAATTTACA